CACACACACACACACACACACACACACACACACACACACACACACACACACACACACACACACACACCTTACTCAGCCTGTCCCAGCATTGAGGGGAACTCTCAACCTGGATTGATCCCAGGTAGAAACCTGTTCTTACATGACTCCTCTCCTCTCCTCTCCTCTCCTCTCCTCTCCTGCAGCTGCATTCCTCCCTCCGCGGTTCCACCTAATGACCGCTATCTCTTTCCATTCTTGCCCTCGATCATTTCCTCGCCGGCGTGTTAATCACTCCAACACATGGGCCCCGGGGCCCGGTGGTTAAAATAAGCCCCGCCTGACACTTCCACTGGCAGATTAACACGACGGCATTAACAGGTGCCGGAGTGCTGCTCTTTGGAGGCGCACAGACAGGATGGATGCGGCGCTGCAGAGCATGAAACACTTCAGTCTTATTAGTGCTGTGACTGGCTGTTTGACTGGGGAAGTTAATGGGAACGTAAAGAGGGGCTGGTTCTTCTTGCATCATGTATGAATAAATAAAACATCCAATGAAATTTACTTACAAGACTCGCAGATGCCTCAGTCCTGCAAAATCCGCTTTGGTGATTTTAGTGAGGTTGTTTGCATTCAGGTCCCTAAATAGAAAAAAAAATGATTTAAACACTATTAGAAGACTGGAAATTACATTTTTTAAAAAAGAAAACCAATTAGGGCTTTTTGTTTTAAATTGGAATTTGTGCATCAGAGGATGTGGTGCTGCAGCAGTGAGGGTCCCTGCCTGCATGCCTTTTAACATGCGGCCTGTTCAAGTCAGAGCCCACTTGTCCAAATCCGTTTTTGATTAACTTGCTGGTCTCCAGACAAACCGATGTGGTCTACAGAGGTTGTGGTATATAAAGCAACAGTGCGAAACCACCAGCACGACCACCCACCCCCCAACTTCAGATGACGCGTCCTGACATTAAACACGAGCCACAATGAATCTCATGGCTTTGTTAGAATTTTTAAAAAAATCTACATTTATAGGCTTTTACACTAATTTGATATCTCACTCAAAATATTGCTTTGCGGTTTTAAAATCTGCACAATTCTTCATTCTTCTTTTGTGCGTCGTTTTAATTATAAAACCAGCTCAAATTTAATTTCTATCTTAGTGACATTTTGTGATTTATTCAATTAATGTGATTTTCTAATGCATATCTGATGAATGAGCCTGTTACACGTCAGGTGTGCGTAACTTCAACATCTTAAACTCTTAAAAAACTAAAGAAGAGTACAAAACTGCCGCACCAATTAACGCACAAATTAATCAATCTTTTTGTTTTTGCGACGTCATCCAGCCGGTTAATGAGGAAAACACTTGACTCACAGTCGCTCCGTGTTTCTGGGGATGTTCCTGGGCACGCTGCGGAGCCCCTGACCGTGACAGTCCACCGTAGTCCCGGTGCAGGAGCACTGGGGCGGGCACGGCTGTCCGTCGGCTCCTCTGAACAGAACCAGGACCAGGACGGTGACCAGCAGCAGCAGCAGTCTCCGCGCGGTCTCCAAGGAGCGGCCAAAGCCAGCGGGGCAGAGAGCTCCCACCATCACTGCGGCAAGCTGAGGGGCCAATATGAGACCCGCAAAATGCAAAGAAAATACAAGAATATCGAGGGGGGGAAATAAGAATACAATTAATAAAGCCTCGGAGTTCCCAAAGGAGCTGGCAAAACTCTTCGAGGAACGGGATTCCGTCCCCCTCCTTTTTAAAAGTCGTCCCCTTTTTGCTTCAAACGTTTTTCTAAAAGATTTTTTAAAAGAAAATTACATTTGGGTCCTGTTAGGGATTGAGTGTCTGGAGCAGAAGTTTGGTCCCACTGAGCAGGAGGTGGCCCGGCTCTGTGTGTGCGCTACAGCGGCGCAAACTTCCACATGTCCACGGCATGCGGTGCGCAGGTTCTCCCGATGTCTTCAGTTCTGTGGATGCACAGGCGTGCGCATGGGTCCGATCCGCCCCCCCAAAAATCTCTTCTATCCTTGGTGTGATTCAACAAAACGCTTCCTTAGTGTGTAGGCACACACACACACACCTACAGACACACTCCAGGTAGCAATAAGGCTGTGTTGGTTGGTTATTAATTCACAACACGCGTCCGGCGCGGAAGCAGCGGCAGCAGCTTCTCGTCCCCCACAAAAAAAAAAAAAAAAAAAAAACAACTCAGATCTCACAGTAGAGGAGATTTATTGATTCCGATAGAAAAGAGGGATCAATTAAGTCAGTAATGAGGAGTACAGCCAAATAAAAAAAGGAAGAAAAAAAAGGAAAGAAAACCTGTGAGAGTCCAGCGCGCAATAATCCAACTCTGCGTGGTGCGTCAAAGCGCTGTTCTCCAGAGTGAGGGGGAGAGAAGCAGACGGGAGCGGGCACGTCTGCTGCTGCGTCTGTTTGGGCATCTCTCTCTCTCTCTCTCTCTCTCTCTCTCTCTCTCTCTCTCTCTCTC